CCATTCCCCACCCCCTCACCCTCCACCCCTGCCCCCCAGTGCCCTCTCCTCCCCCCCCCTGCTCCTCCATGCCCCCGCATCGTCCTCGCCCCCCTCTCGCTTCAGCATCGTCCTCGTCCCCTCCTCCACATCAGCATCGTCCCTCCTCCTCCCTCCTCGTCCCCTCCACTCCTCCCCCTTCGGCATCGTCCCCCTTCAGCAGCGTCCTCCTCCTCCATGCCTCCGCATCGTCCTCGCCCGATCCTCGACCCGCGGAGCCTCCCTCTGCCGCTCGGGGCCCTCCCAGGAGGATGTGCCCGAGCGGCGACGAGGTCCCGGTCGAGGACCTGAAGAAATTCCTCGAGGGCCTCGAGGACTGTTGCCGGGGGGGCGATCGGTGCCGAGAGGACTGGTGGATGGAGGACACTTGGGCGGGAGAGGAGGATCGGGCGAGGGTAGACGGGCCGGAGGCAACAGGGTGGGGCGTTATCGGACGGGTCCAGGATTAAGTCGGGCCTGTCCCTCTACAGGAGGACTGTTCAAAAATAGTCAAAGATAGCACGGGGATGATTCCTCTGTTATTCTAAATCAGATTCTGATGTTGTTTGGGGCATTGTTTTATGCTTTGTCAGCCAAAATCCGCCTGTTGGGGGACATGCCCGACCGAAGTCTAGGACGCGTCTAGATCCGTCCCAGAGCGCTCTGGAACGGGGCTGGGACGAGGATCGGGGGCAAACAAACCTACCTCGCTTTTGACCACCCTCGCTTCCAAGAGATACCAAGCAATGCCAAATTACGGTATGTATTGGTCAGGCCGCTTGACGAGGAGGCGTATGGTATGACTTGGTTTTGCCTGGAAGCGAAAGCGGGGTAGGTAATTCACGCTCTGAGAGGATGCAGCCGTTCCAGAGCGTTCCAGAGCGCTCTCGTAGCGCTCTTGCAGCGCTCTGAAGAGGGGCCGCGACGCCCGACGCGTCCTTCGGGGCCGCCCGGATCGCAGAGGTTCTCGGTGTACACCTTAGGCGATGCTTAAGAAAACTTAAGTTTTCGGCCAGAGTCTCGATGATTCTTAACGTTTCAATGCAAATCTTAAGATTTTAATAGAAATGTTGGGTTTTTGTTCAAGTTCTGAGACTACGAATTTCTTAACCCATGATTTCTAAAGCATTTCGCAAGGTGGATCTTCCCCCGAGAGTGGCATCGTCCTGGCTTCGTCTTACCCTACGCGTTGGAGGCAGAGGAGCGATGCGGTTCAGAGAAGGGTTGCGGGACGGACCACGGGGGGGCGCAGGGTGGTGGTATCACCTCCATGCGTCCTACTTGTCCCTCCTTCCCTGCCTCCCTCCCTCCCCTTCCGTTTCCATCACCCTCTGCCTTCCTCCCTGATTTTCGGGCGAGGGGTGGATGGGGGGCATTGAAAAGGTGTGGGGTGAAGACCACTTCCACTTGCGGGAGGGAGGCGAGGATGGAGGACTTGACAAAAAGGCGGGAGAGTGAAGGAGGAGGATCAGGGACATGATCGGCACAGAGAAAGCCTTTTATGGGACGGCGTGGGGTGGACCACGGGCAGAAGCATGACGGCACGATGAATCCAACGAAATCTCAAGCTGGGATTGCGCAGAAGTTATGTTATTCTGCCGGGGGATGGAACATGTCGAAAGATTTGAAGATTGGAGCCTCGACGGCAGTCTGCCTTGTTTCACACTCAAGCGGAAGCGGTGGCCTCCATAAAGCGGAAGCAGTTGGTTCCAGAGGAGCAACTTGTCGAGTCCAGGAGGGTCTTATTTTCGATGTTCGTCACCACAGTTGTACTCGCCTCGAGACTCTGGTCAGAGCGCTCCCCAGGAGAGGTCCAAGGAGTAGCGGCGTATTCGTATCGGTGTCCCCCCGGCCATTGTTGTTGCTGCGCTGTTGTCCAAAGTGCTGCCGCCACTGCTTCTTCTGCACGCTGTTGCCCAGCTGCCCGCGACGAGCTCTGTCTCTGGGTCAAAGCGGCAGCGCGGCAGCGCAGCAGGAACGAGCTTCAAGTTTAGGGCCCGTCCTGGTTCAGCGCTCTGTCTCAACGATTTCGACTCTTAAACACTTTGCCGTTATGGCGGGGATCTAAGGGAAGATCGGGAGGAGGAGGAGGCGGAGGAGGAGGCGGAGATGACGCAACGGCCATCTCGCCAATTTCTGTGCAACGCACGAAGGAGGATACGCTGCCCAGATGGAGGATACGTTGCCCAGATGAAAGAGGGGAAAGAGAGGCAGACAGAAAAGGTTTGACGTCCTTTCGGGGCGTGTCTTGTTTACTCACTGGTCTCTCGCCCGGGTTCTCCGTGTCTTCATGGGCCCCCTGCTTGTCTGCAGCCTCGTTTCCCCCCTCTTCAGGGCGTATTGCATATGGGGCCTCTTCAGGGCCTTCTTGAGGGGCCTCTCAGGGCCCCCATTGGCGGCCGTCACGGGGCCCGTGTGGGGGGCTCGTCGGGGCTGTCCAACCCGTATTGGGGGCTATCGTTCTACAGAGTTTTCCCGAAGAGGTTCGGTTGAGCCAGTTTTGGGACGCGCCTGCGGGTCTCGGGTTCGTGTTGGAGCTTTGTTGGGCCGTCTTGAATTCTCGGGCAGTCTTCGTGCCAGCTCGAGGCCCTCTTTGTTTGTTGTTTGGGATGGGTCCGAGAACGAGAGGGGGGATAGCGGGGGCGAGGGAGGACGTACGTGGAGGAGGAGGAGGAGGAGGAGGAGGAGGAGGAGCAGCAGGACCGAGGATGGGGCGGAAGCAGGAGGGAGAGGGGGAAAAAGAGCATGAGGAAGGCCTGGGGGAGGGGAAGAGAAAGGGGGAGTGAAAGAGGGCGGAAGGAGGAAAAAAGGAGGAAAAGCAAGGAGGAAATAAGGAGGATGACGACGGGTAGCAGTGGAGAGGAGGACGATGAATAGAGGAATATGAGGAATTATGAGTGAGGAGGAGGAGGAAGAGGAGCGATGAAGGAGGACCTGAGGACCAGGAGGGAACGAGGACCAGGACACGAAGAAATAGGGAGGAGGAGGAGGAGGAGGAGGAGGAGGAAGGAGGAGGAGGAGGGAGGAGCGGGGAGAGGAGGAGGAGCGAGGAGGAGGAGGAGGGGAGGAGGAGGAGGGTAGCCAGCGTCAGCCTCCAGAGGGCCTCTGGAGGTCCATGGGCGGCCTTGGGGCCTGGGGCGCTCTCGGGGTCCTCGGGCGGCCTCTGGGTGGGACCCTGGCGATGACCAGGGCCCGCCCGCCCTCCGTACACTGGCCCTGGACCCCTGGCAGACTAGTGCAGGCAGGCCACAGGCGCTCCTCCTCCTCCCCTCTGTCCTCCTACTTCCTTCACGCCTCTCCTCGTGCCTCTCCCCTCCTACCTCCCTCCTCCTCCCTCACCCTCCTCCTCCTCTCCTTCGTCCTCCCCCATCCTATTCCTCCATCCCATCCCTTCTCCCCCCCTATGAAGAAACAAACGCCCAATGGTGCCTCTCTGGCCGCCCCTGTGGGCCCCGACTACCCTGTCCCCCCCTCCCCCCTCGCCAGAGATTGCAGTCGAGATGGAATCACGACGCTTCGATGATATCGCTGTGTTGTGGACGCACTCTCGCATGGGTGCTCTGAGGACACTGCTACAACAGGAAAGGGCCAGCTCAAACATAACCGAACTTGCATGCGCAACGGGGCCCACGCCACTCCTCTCCACCCTTCCCCCTCGCCGCCCCCTCGCCGCCCCCTCGCGCCAGCTGCAGCGCAGCGCAGCCTTCCCCCGTGCGTCACGGAGCCGTTTTGGCCGAAGCCCTGACTCAGAGAAAGCCCGGCTCCCCGAGGCTCCGAGGCTCCGCCCCCGAGGCGCCCCCGCCGGCGCCCCCGAGGCGCCCCGCCGCCCGCCGCCCCTGGCGCGAGCGC